ATTAAGGTAATCTAATGAAGCCTGTACTATTGTTACTATTATTACTGTTATTACAAGTATTACTATTATTGCTATCATCACTATTATTTCTATCATTACTATTACAAAGGCTATGTTGAATATTAATGTTCATCTTCTTAGTGTTATTTGCTTTTGCTCGTGGACGCACGCAGCTCGGTGCCTTCAAAATCGCACAGCTGGAATCCTACCCCGGTCTCTGTCGGAGGCATGCCCCTCCTTTGGTTTAGGGTTTAGGGTTTAGGGTTTAGGGTTTAGGGTTTGGGGTTTAGGGTTTAGGGTTTAGGGTTTAGGGTTTAGGGTTTAGGGTTTAGGGTTTAAGAGACCGGATGCGAGGAACGGCAGCAGAAGAAGTGAACCCAGGCTGGGACTCCCGGCTGCCTGAGTTTCATCATTACTACCACCGTCGCAGTCGTCGTCGTCATCGTCGTCGTCATCATCGTCATCATTACTATTATCATGAGTATTATCATTATTTCTATTACTATTACTGTTATTATTTGTATTACTATTATCATCATCACCAACAACATGACCATGGCCACCGTCATCATAATAGTGACTAGGACCATTGCCATGGTTTTGATCATGACTAGCCTAACTGCCACTGTGGACGTCTTTATGATCATTGAGCCCGCAATGACCGTCATGACAGTTATGGTGATGGGATGGTGCTGGTGATGACGCTGCTCCCGATCGATAGTTTGAGTGTTATAACTCTTGATCATTCTTGACATCTTCATCATCGCAATTGTCATCATCTTTCTGCTTCCTTTAAAAGCCTCTGCCGGCGCTCCGCCGATGTCCGCACGAAGGTGTCCTGCTGGGCTCGGGCTCTGAGTACCGGCGGCTCTGGGCGCTGCATAGCTGCAAAGAGGGGGGTCTAGCCTAAACATCCTAAACCAACCTATGGTCTCCATTGTAGTTCCTTGTTGGGGTTGCCTTGTGAAATCCTTAATATATAGTTGGTAAGCCAAAAAAAGGAACTACAATGGAGACTACGGGAAGATTCCAACTGCTGAAGCCCTGAAGCCTTGAACCTTAAAGTCCAAAAGCCCTACGGTGTTAAAGGTCTGGTAGTCCCCGTGATTTTGCCGATGCTTAAGGTGGTTCGGAAGTAGTGTCCAGGGCACGAGGTATGTGGTTGCATGTTGTAACCTCTCATCAGCAGGGTTGCTACTGCGGTAGGTGCCTACTTATGTTTCGGCCACGACTACTTGTATCATAAGTCTTTCTGCCAGTGCCATGATTTCTTCTACTCTTTCCATCCCACCGGGAGGCATTCATGGTGGTCTTGCTATCAAGGTCGCTTCGATCCCAATGGTCACGTGTATATTGGATATTGGATAGAATTGATTTCGTGTCTTAGACACGCTGTTTGTAGCATGCTGTTTGCAGCCATCCATGTCTCGGCACGGCCCACGGACGATGACATCAGAATCGTTGCGACATCCAGCAAAGCAACCGTGGTGTGGATGGAACTAGGTGGCCACATGCACATTTCTCACCCGTGTACGAACCCTTCCCCAAGGCTCCATGTGGCCATACAGTATATACTTGGGCCTTAAGGGGGTCCCTATATAGGTAGCTAAAGGCATGTGTGCTATGTAGGCACATGGAGCCTTACGGTTCTCCGTCTTGATAATGATGATGACGATGATCACGACGATCCGTCGTAAGCAGGGCCATGTCTTCGAGTCTTCATAATGCAGGGTAATATGCTTTGTCTTTAACATACTACAGTATGCTATAATATACCACATACTACAGTATGCTATAATATACCACATGGTGCAGTATGCTTTAATATACCATAATACACCACAATATTTCTAGTACCACTCCTGGTGATGCTGACAAACAACCTGCTAAACGCAAGATGTCCAAGGGCTGCTACTCGCGCAGTCAAAGGGACCTTCCCAGATGCCAAACTTACTTGGAGGATCATGGGACTTAGTAACTAGGGTTATAAATAAGGTAACTCTAATTATAACCCCAATTAGGGTACTTATAACCTTACTTACTAAGTCCCATGATCCTCCAAGTATGTCCCACCCCGAGCCTAAATCCAGCCCTGAGCCCATGGTCCCTAAAACTTTGAATCCTAAACTCTAAACCCTAACCTAAAACCCTAAAGCCCTAAACCCTAAACCCTAGACCCTACTCTCGAAGGTTGTGGAGCGAAAACCGGTGTGCGGATGAGCAGTTCAGGCCTCAGATGCCGATTGGCAGCGCCTGGGGGGTGGTTACACCTTTGTATAAACAAGGGTAACGCCACGCGAAACGACCCGCGCGATAGCAAGGGTGCTTTTCAAGGCAAAATGGTAGTTTTACCGAGGTTAAACGATGATTTCTGAATTATTAGTTCTTGTTTCGGGAGATATCCTTGCGCAACCTCGAAAGTTTTCGGGTCTTGCTTTCGTTATTGTTTCATGTTTGGAACTAGTGTTTTTGGTGGTTTTGCCACAGCGAGAACATGGTTTTTGCGTTTGATGGCGTGATTGTCCGGCAGCAAGTCTTTATAATAAACGGCCCTTTTGGATTTCGGTCGGGGTTTGGGTTTGTGGGGCTTCGGTGTTGCCATTCCGTTGTAGTCTTTAAAAGGGGTTACTGCAAAATTGCCTTTTTGACTCAGGTAGAAACGATGGTTTCTGCTTTTCAGTTACTGTTTCCGGGGTTTCTCTTTCGTCATTGTTCTAGCTTTGGAATTGGTGTTTTGTTTTGCTGAGCGAAAGCAAAGTCGTGGGATGTCGGGCTTAAGCTTTGAAGTTGAAGGTTTTGGGGCTTGCAGTGCTTCGCGAGGGCCTGGGATGCTGGTTTGACGCTTCTAGCTCGAGGGTCTTCCGGTTACTTACGACTTCGCACCAGCAACACACAACATGCTCTGGGTTTTCCAGGTTTCCGGATGGCACGGAGCTTGAAAATGCAGGGAGTTCACTACCCAATGTCCTTTCGAGCGTTCAGGCCCGGGGAATTATTTGCGCAGGGAGAGTCATGAAGTGTAGGTAATGTAGGGGCCTGAATAATTAGAAGGGGGTCTTGGGGTACATTATACTATAATTATAATGAGGAACCCCCACAATAGTATAGGTGTTTATTAAGGCCCCTATATTACATCTAGACATGCAGCAACCAAGCCCCGGAACCCGAAACAACTAAGAACCTCACAGCCTCAACCCGAAGTCCTTATCCCTACTGTTGATGGACAAAATTCTGCATGACCTTATATACCTAAACTATGGGATTTATGGTGCTATACTATACTTGGGTCATGCAGGATTTTGTCCATCAGCAGTAGCATCGTAAGAACCTTTGAGAATCTCAAGGTTTCGGCCTTTGTACATTGTAGGGGCCTCAAGAAGTAGAATAGGGTTTTTTGGGGGGTACAGTCTACTATAGTTATAACGGGGAACCCGCCAAAATAGTGTAGGTATGTATTAAGGCCACTATACCCTAAACCCTAAACCCTATATTAAGGGCCCTATACCCTAAACCCTATATTAAGGCCCCTAAACCCTAAACCCTAAACCCTGAACCCTAAACCCTAAACCCTAAACCCCTATATTAAGGCCACGGTAGCAGGAGATTCCGCCAAGGTGCTTTCTGTTCATCGCCTGGCGGGCGCATCGCTTTAGCGAGCCTTCCTTCGTCAAGGCGGGTTGGGTTTAGGATTTAGGGGTTAAGGGTCACTTAGGGTTTAGGGTTTTAGGGTTTAGGGTGTAGGGGTTTAGGGTTTAGGGTGTAGGGGTTTAGGGTTTAGGGTTTAGGGATGCTAGGAGTGCCCCTGTAAGTGCTCTTACAAAGCTTTCTAGACCCGGAGAACCCAATACCCCTTAATTCAGGAAGATATCTTAAAGCATAGGGGCCTTCATATTCTGATTCAAAGTATATACCTTCAAAAAGGGGTATTGGGATCTCTGGGGACTTTTTGCCGCAAGGCTTACCATGGCTCCAAAAGGGTATCTATACCCTAAACCTTAAACCCCAAACAAAACCCTAAACCCTAAACCCTAAACCCCAGACCCTAAACCAAAAGCCTAAACCATAAACCCCAGGCTCTAAACCAAAAACCTAAACCCTAAACCCCAGACCCTAAACTCAAGGCATAAACCCTAAACCCCAAACCCCTAAACCAGGGCCCTAAACCCTATACCATTACGATATGACTTTCTGCAATCAGGAATCCTCGCGGCTGCTCAAGGTCTAGGCTGAGAGGGTAGAAGTGGAAGCGGTGGTTTTAGAGTTTAGGATCTAACCCGTTAGGGTGTGGGTCTGGGGTTTAGGATCTAAGCCTGTAGGGTTCGGAGTTTAGGGTTGAGGGTTCAGAGTTTAGGATCTAACCCGTAAGGGTTCGGGGTTAGGGTTCAGAGTTTAGGACCTAACCCTTTAGGGTTCGGGTTTAGGGTTTAGGGTTTGGGATCTAACCCTTTAGGGTTCAGTTCGGGTTCAGGGTTTAGGGTATAGGATCTATCCTGTAGCATATACTTTCATTGCACGTCGTGGATTTAGCCAGGAGCTTGCGATGCCCCTCTTCCAGATCTTGGACCACAACAACGACCAGCTGATCACCGCTGAGGCACAAGGGTTCAGAGGTTCATTCAAAGAGGGCACGGGTTTGAGCAGTAGACTATGTACAATCTGTTTCAATTAGATGGTGGTATGGACCAAAAGCTAGGATCTCGGGTGTGTAGGATCAGATAGCCAACGAAAAGAAGCCCTTGAACCCATGTGTCTGTGTAACATGGCGACCCTAAACC